CACCTGACCTTCTGGTCAGTAGGACATGAACACGTGAAGAAACATCCCTCCATGTCAGATAACCACCTCATAGCCCTGATCGCATCCTGTGTACCATCAAACGTCGGGGGCTTCGTGTTATCGAAGTCTCGGTACTGGAAAGCCCTGCCGGCTCCTCCTCCAATCCTTGCCGCGGTTACAGCCGATGTGGCTGCAGCGGCAGCTGTCTCTGCTAGAGCTGCATATCGCTCATCAAAGTACTCAACCATCGCGATCTTAATCGACCCAAACATCTCTGGCAGCTGCGCTCGGAACGCTGCAGCAATCTCGTCATGCATAATCTCCCGGATCCTGGCATCCAACTCCTCTGTCCCTATCTGTACCACGGGCTCTGGTGCTATCGGCACCTCCGACCCTCCGTCTCCCGATCCTGATCCTGATCCTGACCCGGATCCAGTAGTAACACGTCTCATCACCACCATACTGAAATATATATTCAAGTCATCAGATAAATAACATAATATCGGGAGACCAAAACCCACAAACCCTAGGGGTTGTGACTTCCTTGCTATGCGTATGGGTCCTGTGTTTTCAGTAGTACGGACCCATACTACCTTCCACACCTACCCATATTTGTCTCAAGTATCACCACAACACCCTATCACTATCATCAACATAAAATGCGCTCAACCCTTACTCCTAGGGAAACATCGCCTATCCCACAACTGATCTCACAGCTCCTCACAACCCACACATCCATGAAACTTTCATCAACCCCTGCAGTGCTAGTGCAGGCTAGTCACACATAACACTGGACCCAATAGACTTTCGAATATCCAATCCTATCCGTAGACTGGATTAAACATTCTCAGGCTATAAGATCTTGATTACGCACAGCCGTGACGCCTACACTAACGACTACAGTAATAATGTCAATTCCATATACAAGAAACCCTAGGCTAGTACGCATCATACAATCAGGCAAGTCTATCATGAGATTTCTGAAGATCCCTAGCCTAGCACTAACATGTTGTTCTAACATATCATAATAACTGTATGGTATTTTGGGGTTTACTTACAGGCTCCGGCTGATCGTACCCTCTGCATCATCCATCCTTTATTTTGAAAACCATTTTAGAATTTATTTCGAAAATTTCCTTGATTTGAGACTGGGTTCACACGTGTGTTTCCCCCAATTCACTCAAACCAAGGCTCTGATACCAACTTATAACATCCAAAATTTTACGCCAAATTTAAACTTTTCAAGCATAAACAAAACCAAATAGTAATTGTTTACAAAAGTGTTTTCAATTCATTATTCAATCAGAGTGTCCAAAAAGCCAGATCATAAGGATGAGGAGCGGTACGGGCACGCCTTCGCCTTGCCATGAACTTCTGAAGTACCTGAAACAATAAACTGAAAACTGTAAGCCCCGAGGGCTTAGTGAGCTACCCCCAAAATACCAATACCACACTGATAATACCATATTAGTAATAATCAATCAATCAACATGCATACTGAGCCATCGGCCTGACTGAACCGCCCTACATGGCCTACAGTCCAACTGAATCTATACCGAGCCTTCGGCATGACTGGACCGCCACGTGGGCCTACAGTCTTCCTGGACCGCTCATAGGGTGTGTTGGCCTTCAGCACAAAGCAGGACCGCCTCAACCCAAGCAACAAGCAAATAACCATGTGCGCATAACTAACATTTACTAGCATATACAAACATCGAACATATTTATCTCACTGATTACCAAACATAGCAATCTCTCATAACTACAACACTGACCTAGCAGGTCACTAACAGATCATATCCACATGTAGCATACCATAACGATAACAACTAAAGGGCCGACCTTGGTGCCTTAGACCCTATCGATATAGTGAGGATCACTGCCACAAACTCGCCGAGTTGTTCATCCACTCGTCGAGTCTACGACAATCTTCATTGGACTCGCCGAGTTGTTCTTCCAACTCGCCGAGTTAATGCCTATCTTCATATGACTCGCCGAGTCGACCATGCGACTCGCTGAGTCCCTTCAGTCCTTTTTGCCATACAGACTCATTTGAGCCATGCAGCGGCTCCAAACTACAGATCCAAGCTTCTAAGGCATGCTTTTCACGTAAAGTTGCAAACTTTACGTGCATGCATAGCTACAAAGGCTCTTAATGTCAAATCCAAGCTTACAATGGGGGTTTCATGTTCAAAGAGGTTTCATTCACGCCCAAACCAGAAACTTTATGACTCTAGGACTTAGGAAGGGTCCAGATCTGAAGTTACAACTTCAGATCTAGCCCATAGTCCACCTTATCAACTCAAAGATCCATAAAAGCCCCAAACTCAACCAAAAAGAGATCTAGAAGGGAAAAGAAGTAAAGGTGGCGACTTGATACCTCTGGAAGATGCTAACTGAGGTAGATTCTGATTCCCACACTTTCCTTGCTCCAATTCCCTTGCCTTCCAAGTTCCTCTTCTCCAAAGATCTTCCTCCCAAGCTTAATACACACACAAAAGAGCACCACATGAATTAGGGTTTCTCAAGAGCTCTCTAGAACTGCAAAGAGGCCAAAGGAGGCTTATGTTTCCTTAAATAGGGTGCAAAACCCCGGGATTTAGGGTTTCCTCTGCCAGTTCCTACTCGTCGAGTCCCTTCATGGACTCGGCGAGTAGGTCACTAAACACGCGTACCAAGCCCGTTGCTACTCGACGAGTAGGGCAACCAACTCGTTGAGTAGGCCTTGAAACCAATTAAATTCTTATTTAAACAATACCTGAGAATCGGGGCGTTACAATTTATACATAATATTAGTAGTTAGTCTATATATAATAATTAATTATGAATAAGAAGTTTGAAAAAATACCCAAAGCATCTTTGTCTATTTGAAATTTCGTTCGCAGTATCATAAATGTATAACTGAGAGAATTTTGGTTCCGATCCTTTTGCTGGTAAAAGGCTTCAAATACTATGATAATTTTGACCACCCAATATGAAAATGTATGGAGCGTTTCCTCTATTGATTGAAGAATCAATTTTACCATCCATCGAGGTAAAAGAAAACATTGAATTGTAACGTCAAATGTTTTTCATGAAGTGTTTGCTTTTAGAATCCATATTTCGAAACATTCTTTCATAACTTGAGGGTGCTTTCTTTAAATCTGGAAGTTGAACTTTGCCGTAAGCACAACATAATGAATAATCCGTGTTCCCTTTTTCTTTACCTCTAATGGATTCATTTCTCCATAACTTTGCATGACATGTTTGACATACAACATTTTGATCACCATGATCCAAATATTCTGTAAAATAAAAGGCGTAGAAAAAAATATCAATGAATTTTATAAGTATATACAACAAAGTATTTGAAATGTAAAAAAAAAAAGAAAATGGATATTATTTTTTTGATTACCATTTGAGATACCAACTATAAGGTTTTCATTTATGACTTGATGTATATTTTCTACATCTTCTCTCAAATCAATCCATGGGATAGGGGATAAATGTCTCGTCTTCCTTTTTAATTTATGACATCCTGGATTTAACTTGATTGATGATGAAGAACCAGTTACTGTAGATGCATTTTTCGATGTCATATCATTTGAAAGTACATAGTACTGTCTTTTGTTTGGTAACTTGGAAGTAGCCTATTTATCGAAACTGATGTTATCTGACCAAAATAAATAAAATAAGTATATATATCCCGATTATATAGAAAATGGATAATACTATATTTTAAAAAACAATAAATTATTACCATTTGTAATGTTAGATAATGGAGTTCTAACATTTGTAATGTTAGATAACCGAGTTCTAATATTTGTAAAGGAAGAAGAGTATTGTACGGTTCTATTTTGGATTCCAGGTGAAGTAAATGAATTGACATTTTCAGTTTGACCAACAATGTTGGTTGATTGATTTGCAAATAACAAAAACTTATAAAAACTGGAGACATATGTATAAAACAAAGTAATAAACTGAAATCATATAATATTACAGGATAATAAAAAAAATATAAGAAATCATTTATTGTATATAAATGTAAAATAAGCGTAAAACATAGAATAAAAAATAATAATAGGGTTACAATTAATTATATTTTTAAGAGATGCGGTATTGATGTACTTGGAATGTTCGATCTTGTATTCATTTTCTTCGATCTTTTATTTTCCAAATATATTTTTCTTTGTCTTCTTTTCTCTCTGATTTGCAAGTGGTATATGTTATTGTTGTTTTTTGCATAACAGATAATAGGACAGAATATGAAATTTATAATTAGGTAAATAATATTTTTATATAGTAATATTGAAGAAATAAACGTACCTTTGTAAGCATCAGTTACAAATTTCGAAGAATATTGACTTGAAGCAGACGAAGAATTTGACAATTTATCTAATTTTTTTTATGTTAATAAATGTTTATATTATTAAAAAAAATTTATGTGAGTTAAAAAAATAAGAAATAATTATAATAAAAATTTTATATGAAAAAACTTAATTTGTAAATCGAAGTATTAACAGCTGTAGTTGTTGAAGATAGATGTGTTGATGTAGTACCCAAATTAATATTTTTTGTGTTATCTAAATAGAAACTATTTAGTTTTCTAGTCTTTTTAGAAGGAAATGAATGCATTGTATGACTGCAACATTAAAAAATAAATCAAATTAGTTTATAAATTAATATGCTTCACAAATTAGAATTAAGTAGTTCATATAATATTTATCTAGCGAACAAATGGGTAGAAAGTCAATTTGTAGTCATTTTTAAGTATTTTTTTTGTTAAGGATTAGCAAAAACAATACAATAAAATTGTGTAATTTTTTTGAAATGTTTTATTAAAATGTATATATAAATTAAAACTTAGTTTATTAATGTGTTATTTTTTTAAAAACATTTTACATTTAAATATAATGTAAGATCAATATTTGATATATTTTTATATTGTGTAATTGTGAGTATAATTAAAAATACTAAACTTAGTAATATATAATTGATAACTTTTAATGAAAAACCCAACGTATGAAATGTGAAACATAATTTGTCCTTACAATCTTGAAGGAAATCGAAGAGCTAGGATACGAACAGGAGAATGAACCCTAGCCCTAAACATGATTTCAGCACAAACACATTAATCGAAGAGGAAGGAATCACATTTCAGAGCTAAATACTATGTGGAGGTAAGTGATGGCTATTGCGATTCAGTCATTACTCACATTTGAAGGAACCACCGGCAAAAAACCATTTGTGTATCCATCGATCAACCAGAGATAAATAGGGGATAGTTTTATGCATTTCAATTCAATCCAAGTGTGTTTTTTTTTCTTGCTTCCCAATCTCTACCCGCCTCTCGTCGTAACCCTAGCTCGGACTACCTCTCTCGCTTACTGTTGGAGCGTTTTCTTCTCTGTTTGCGTTAATTCGTGTTTATTGAAACAGATTACAATTATCGGCATCCAATTTCTTTATTAGGGTTTCAATTAATCGTGATTGTTCCTCTTTCTCACATCATGTTTAATTTTTTTAATTTTTTTTTCCAAAAATTATTCTAATTGTGTGTATTATGTTTTACAGATGTTCGTTGTGTTTCAGGTAGACTAAAATACGATGTTGAGCTTATTGGCGATTAATTGGAAACCCAGAGGAAGTTTAATGGTTTGCCCCTTCATATGTTTGTAATAGTGTGTGGGATGACAAAGGATATGATCATAATATTGCTTAAACTTTTATTAACCAAAATGTTGCCTGAAATGGTATGACAGAGATTAGTGATATCTGATGTAATGAGATCTATAAAAGGAAAGTAAATTGATTAGAGTTCATTAATATTGTAATTATTTTCCAAATCATTATTTTTTACTTACAATTGTGTTTGTCTTTATACTTTGTGCAGATTGTTGGCATAGTATCACAAGGGCATTTTCGTCATCATTTTCTAACAAACTACAACTTATGATAAGTTTCATAATAATGTAAAGATAATCTTATCTTATACACAATAAACCTTTGTAATTAACTTAAAAGTGAAATTATGTATACCTTTCCAGAAATTATTCAAGCTCCAAACTTTGTCTCAGGCCAACAGAGATCCAACACCATTGCACCGTGCAGCAAGAGTATTGATAAATTGTGAACTTGTAAGTGTTTTGCCATCATGTTTTCAATAAAACGTTAGGTACAATGTGGGGTTCAAACATTCAAAAAAAGTCAAATTTGTCAAGTTTCAAACATAAAGATGCTTTTTGATTACATGGGTTTCTTTAGTTTGGTTGGCATTGGAGTTCAATTCCATTCCAAGGCTTAGTTGCAAATGAGTATGAAATTGGAATCCACAAAATCCTTTGACTAACAAATTTCAACATCCATACAGAAACCCATGTAATCTAATTTCAAAACACTAACCTGATATGTGAATATGGAAATCTTGCCGGAAGTAAGAGGGCTTTAAAATCAAAAACAATTGACGAAAAGAAATAAAATGAGGAATAGAAGTTGTATGAAGAAGATTGAGGTAACAAAGCCAACAGAATATTCGCAGATGCATATGAAAGGCAAAGAAGACGAATAAGGAATTTCAAAATCATGGATTTCACGTTTTGAGGTAATATTTATAGACACATTCACATATTACCATTAGGAAGCCTTGAAGTTACATCATTATATAACCCATGTATGCAACTTAATTGATATATGCTTTGATCATGTTATATCATCTTAATCATTTGTTTAAATATTAACATTACAATTAAAATACATGAGTCGTAGCAAGAAAATAAAATTCATTATCAAATCCCTCAGATAGTCAAATATTCAAGTAATATAATCTATCCATCGTCCCCAAAATTTTAATTAAAAAAATTATTTTTTACTTTTTATCAAGTATTAAAGAAGATGATATGAAAGGTTTTGTAACTTGTAAATTTAACATGTCAACATGAATACCACTTTCTTGGAACTCAAAGCATGCGAGCAAATAACACAAGACTCCATTCATTAAAAAAAGAAAAAAGGTACACACACAAACATGTACATATACACATGCTAACAGATACATATACAAAGAAATCGATAAAAAGAGCAGTAGAAGGAAGACGAAGATGAATGAAACAGATACCTTAAAGAAGAAGAGACAGCGAACTGAATTGAATATTTGATATTGCGTTCTCTTTTGCTCTGGAATTTGGATTTGCCGTGAATGAAAAAAACCGTGATAATGTATTTAAAAAAATAAGATTAGGTAAGTTACGGTATTTAAGGAATTGATAAGCATCAAATATTTGAAAGATTTATTTATCGTTTTAAATAAAATTATGATTATTTACCTTCCGTTTTTTTAAAAATTGCAGGAAATTGACTAATTGAAGTTGACTGCTAGATTTTATGAATTTATTGTTATTGAATTTGTATTGGATAATTTTTGTTACTGATTTTATGGGATTTAGTAGATTACAAATCAATTTAAATTAAATATAGGATTTGCATTTAATAAGGGATTACAGAAAATTAGGAAACAATCAGGTAAATGGACGAAATTAAAAGAGTATCTGTAATATTGATATCTTCGACTTACAAATCAAGTGTAGACTATCCCTGATTTATTGGTTTTTAAACGCAGAGAATGAGTTTATATTGGAAAACATATCACCTTCGTGATTTTGCTCAACTGCGACTTTAATGGAGGTAATGACATCCTTTTTGCATAATGTCGGCTTTATTAGTTAATTAAATTGTATATTTAATAAATAAAATAAATAAAATTTATTGTCCAGGTTTAATCTAGAAACAATAATAATAATTTGAAATCGTAATAAGTAATAAAAAAATTTGAAAAAAAAATATTAATTTTAAAAAATATAAGTTCTTTTTATTAACTATTTAATGTTGGTTTAAAATAAATATATAAATCGTTATGAATTAATCTTATAAATAATTTTTGGCAAATTTTTTTTTGTTAGAATAATTTTAATAATAATTGGGAGTATCATTTGACATTGCATTTTAGGTATTTTGGGAATACCCTTAAAATAATAAAACATGATAACATCGACCCGTGTGGCTCTAGTTTACCCATTTGTATTTATTTAAAAAATCTATATAATAACTTTTCTAATAATTGGGAGTATCATTTGTCATTTCAACATGGCTGACCTTAAGCTTATTCTCCATGGTTACAAAATTAGATTCATTGACTTTGACCTTAAAAGTAAAACAGGAACAAAACTATAAATTTTAGTCTATCACAACAACTAAAAAGAAGGCACAATAACGATTTGGAAAAAAAAGGTTAATAAATAATTCGTAAGCTGTTTATACACAAACACATCGATGCTGAGATTTAATTTACATATTTACATAGTAATAATAATATGTTATTGAAATAACATTCGACAACAGACGTAATATGAATTTGAATATCTGATTATCAAGATCAAAGAAGATAATGTATGTGTTGATTAAATATAAGAAATAGATAAAAATAATGTTTATATTAAAACCAAAATAATAAAAAAAATGAACCAAAATGAATAAAATTAAAATGAACCATCGTCTTAAAATTTGTCCCATAACAACCTACATTTCCAACAATCATTGTACCAAATAACCAAAACATTTTTTTAAAACCAAACCAACATCAAAAATTATTATTTGTTTGTGAAAACCTAAAACAACTCACTTTTCCACTTTAGGAACTAAAAGTGTATTTCCCTCTCCGATTGATTTTCTTTTAGATTTTGTTGAACTCAAATCACCTCCACAATCAACGTCATAAATGTCATGGAGGTTGCGCTTCAAATCACTTGATATTTTCATTGGACTGGTTGCAGATGATTTATCAGCTGTTGAGGGAGTAAAACTCTCATCCGTTTGTGATATCACATCCTAAATTTAAAAAACATAAGCTGTCAATTGGAATAATTAAATATTAGTAAAAGTTAATATGAGAATATAAAATACCTTTTGAACATTCTGAACAAAAGCATCTCATTCCAAGGGTACTTCATTTAAGGACACTGATTGAGTACTCTAGAAAATAAAATGGAAATATGCAAAACGTTATGTATGTAAATAAAAAAACAAATATAAAGGTTGAACATTAAAACGTTATGTACCATAAAAGTTCTAGTTTACTTTCCAATTGGGAAACAATGTTCATATCTTCTGTAATTTTTAACACGGTGTAGATATTATTATAGTTTTCGACGTTGTAGGATGTAATATCTACAAGAAACGCAAATTTGCGGTTTTTCAAGACGTTCATTTCGTTTGGAAATAGTTGCACACTGTCTCCAGCCTGTAAGAAGTCGTTTAATATATTAAAACAAATAAAATGTTATTCGATAAAAAAAATATGAATAAAATACTATACCACTTCATGTATTTTTTTCAACTCGTATGTACTTATATCCAACAACCTTTTTGCTTCCCTGTAAAAAAGAGTAAATCTGATGGTGCCGGTATGATCTTGTACGTTGATTGGAATTATATACCGAAACAAAAAAGTATTACATTAATAGTAATTTTGTTGAAAGTTTGAAATGATTAATATAAGTAGATATGTGTGTACTTTGTAACGGTATGAAAATTCGAATCATAGCAAACAACATCTTTACACTCAATAACAACACTTTCTGAAATTTTGTCGGGGGCAGTATAGGAAAGATTGGGTTTGGGCACTTTGTTTATCTTTTTCCCACATTTGTAGCACGCATCGTAATACCAATGTAGATTCTGTCTTATATTGATGATGGAACCAACTAATAGAAATTTCATTGCCTATATCAAATAAAATGTAAAACGAAAAGAAAAAACATAAAATATTTAAATAAAATCAAAGGATATAAAATAATGAAATATACCTTCAGTGGTTCTGTGATCTCATAAAACAGTTTTTAAAGGGAAATCCCCTTTTAAAATCATCTATATAAGAAGAGTAACTTGGCAGTGTAGTTATGCTTTTTTCAGACATGCCTTCATTATCATCAGCTTTCAATCTGTAATGTTTAAAATTATATTATTAAATATAAGAGACTGTATTATTTAAAATATAAAAACAATATAAATTTTTTTAATATTTTAAATATAAATTAAAATAGACTAACTCTTTCTTGAAGTCATTAATTTCAACAATGTCAGAATTAATGAACATTTTGGTTACATCAAAATGACTTTTTGCTTGACCAATTCCTGTAAAAACAGATTAGTTAATAAAAGTAGATTGAAAAAAATAATTAAATGTATATAGTGTGACTACAAACCATCCCAAATGTTAAGTTTCACAAACTGCATCACTATAACAACTCAAGTAACCGTGGGGTTACTTTTCAAGTACTGTGACAATTGGTGTGCTTGACTTCCAAATATAGTGACCTGCAAGTGTACAGACCTAAATAAAAAAATAATTTAATTAGTAAGGGGAATGGATTTTTATAGTACGAAAAAATATGATTAAAAATAAGATAAATAAATGAAATTAATATAATCTCACTGTAAGTTGCTAAGTGTCATCTTCATGTAATGCTTGGATGGGTTAGGACTGGATGTTTCAAGTGGACGAAATGATACAATTTGTCCAATAACATCTACACAAGTTTAATAAAATTAAAACAAATAATATTAAGTTAAATACTAACATAGTAACATGTATAATAAATTACACAAATTATAAAAGTGAATGAAATAAAATTAAACAACTAACCAAAGAATGAGTCTTTTGGGCAACTTTGTTCGATGATAGAATTAAGATCAACAAACACAAAACCATTAACTGGACCTGAAAAATCCTCATATTTTTTTTAGAATAGTTTTTCAATCCAAAGTTATGGTTTGTTTTTGACCGGTAACACTAAAACCATTTCTCACAACCGTCATATTGGGTTTTAAAATGATGTAACTTTGATCTTCCTTTAAAAGATTACCAAATCTGGAAAAATTTTGGTTGAATACACGAGATTGGTATTTTGTACCCTGTTAAATCAAATTAAAAAAAATTATTTTTATTGATTGAAACATATTGTCACACCCCCAAACCAGACGGCGGAAACGTCCGGGGGTGGAGGACTTCAATTGTAGTATCACAACACATGCATCATAGTAATCAAAGTACAAACAACCATTGTATTTAAAAAGTATAAGTATTTACATGTGTTCAATCATTGTATATTGAAACCAAAATAGTTATACAAATGAAGAAGATATGACTCAATTTAGCTCCATCTTCTCAAAAAGCTCGGGGAGTACCTGTTTATTGTTTCCCTGAGAATACAAGTACTTTGAAAAGAGAGTATCAACATAAAGTTAAGTGAGTGCATATATGTTTATGTTTAAAAGGATGTTTCGGTATCTCGAATATGTAAACTGTTCCAGAAAATCCTATATTTTCTGCTGTATATGAAAAGTAGTTTTATTCCCATAAAACCGTTCCATTTGTAAACCAATGTTCTGTATTTGTAAAACTTATAACTGAGAGTGTGCCTGGTTTCACTAGCTGTTATTGAAAACTGTATTGTACTATTGTAGTTGTATTCTGTAAACTGGTACTTTGAAGGTGTACTTACCTTTAGTTGATTATACACTAACGTATTGTTAATATCTTTTTAATGAGTTATTATAACCATACTAAGACATGATGGCCTGAAACAAACGCTTTGTGGGCGTTTAAACTGTTGATAACAATTGCCACTCATTGGCGTGTATGCCTGACTGTAGCTAGCAACCTGAGTGTGGGGTTGTCAATCCCAATATAGATCTACACACAACTTGTTTTGATCCCCTGACTAGAGACTCTGGTTATAATATCAGGACTTTACCTTGGTTGTCTAAATGAATTAAACAACCTGAATTGAATGACTCATCATATAAACGTTACATGTATATTAGTCATGAAAACCCAATCATTATGAAATAAATGATTGACAGTATATTCTTGAATTAGTATTCTGAACATGTATTTGACAATTGTAAACCCTTGATTTGTTTTGAATCAAAACCCTTGTTTCTTGTAAACAGTGTATTCTAGTATACCTGAATCATGAATTATTGTTCTATGTATCATAATAAGACCTATTATAATTTATATGTACTTTCTGAATCGATATTTAACTATTTTTTCATGTAACCCCTTGCTCAACATGTTACAAGGGTATTTGAACTGATGAAATAACTTTTATATTTATATACATACACAATTCTATATATAAGTAAAATTTAAACGACACTCGGACAAATAACCGGTACTATAAGCCCACATCCAAACAAGGAAAAAGACCCAGAATGAGTTATCAGTCCTAAGCCTTATAAATCTTATATATATATATATATATATATATATATATATATATATATATATATATATATATACAAATATGAATTTTGGGGAAAAATATAAGTTTATAAAAGAGTTTAATGTTTCTAGTATATTTTGATAATTTAATGACGTTTTATCATGATTTGAAATCATGTATTTATAACACAAAGTTCTTGTGTTATACTTATATTCCCCCCCCCCCCTTTAAACAATAGAAATTATGAAAATACGGGGGGGTATGAACTCACTTGATAGGTGGTGATTTGGAGAGCGTTTCGTTTCCTGGAAGGAGTTTTTTTGACGAAAAACCAACTTAAATCGACCAGAGTTTCGACTGGAGAAAGTTGTTTTTCTCGGGAATCTCGGGGCTTCGAGGCTTGCTTAGGGTTTGAGATATGATACCGGGGCTTTAGGGGTTTTAGGATATTTTAAAGTGGTGAAAGAAGTGAAAAAGTGTGGAAAATGGGGTGAAAAAGGTGAAATATCCGGAGGGTCTCGCAGGCCTTATATAGGTCGAAGCCTCGGATCCGAAGCAAGGGGAGGCTGCCGCGTGTTCGGACATGTGGCGAGGGGGAGGGGCTCGCTTCGGACAGCTGGCTCGGTGGTGTCGGATCAGGAGTGGACCGAACTTCGGTCCAATCGGAAGAGGGCACGGTGCGAGTTCGGAAGCTCCAGCGTGCGAAGGGCGTGTCCGATGGCTACTGGACCGCGACTTCGGTCCAATCAGAAGGTGCCACGAACAACTTCGGTCCAATTAGAAGGTGCCACGAGGCAAACACGGAGAAGCCTCGCATGCGAGGGTGACATGGCCGAAGGTACACCATGCGAATTTTCCCGGTTTTCAACATTTCTCGATATTTTTGCCCAAAACTTGCGAAAATCATAACTTTCGCATACGAGCTCCATTTTCGACGTTCTTTATATGAACGCGTAGGTAAAATTATACTCTACGACTTTCTTTTAGACTTCGTCGGCTAATTTTGACTTTATTTTTAATATTATTATTTTTAACAGCCCGGGACAGGAAATCCGTTAAAAAATCACAACTTCTTCATCCGACGTCCGTTTTTGTCTGTCTTTTTACCGTTGTACTACTATTGACGAGACCTTCAATTCTCATTTAGGCTGTGTCGGCTAAAAATCACTCGATCGATATTTCGAGTTTTTAGCTGTATATTGTTATACTGAAACTTAGAAAAATCATAACTTGCTCATACGAAGTCAGATTTTGATGTTCTTTTTATGAAAGTTCTCGGTTTAACGTAATCTACAACTTTCATTTAGATTGTTTTGCCGGTTTTGTCGCGGACCTTCGATTGGTCATAACTTCTTCGTTATAACTCGGATTTTAGTGTTTCTTTATATTTTTGAAACCTTGTTATAATCTCTACCACTTGGTTCATCCCAATCGAGATTGTTTAAATACTTTATTTTTGAGGGTCAATTATGTAAATATACACAGTATGCTAAATTTCTCTTTATTATTTTAAAAAAGAACTACAAATTGACCTACATTATTACATAGGTTTGAAATAACAGTTTGTTACATTATCCCCCCGTTAAAGAGAATTTCGTCCCGAAATTAGCATTACAGGTAGACTAGGGAAAAAGATGTGGATATTTCTGTCTATCTCTGGAAGCTTTAAGTCGCTCCCGAATTTGTACGATTTTCTCGGTAGTTTCTCGAATAATTTTCGGACCAGTGAGAGCACTTGTTCAGGAGTTTGATCTCTAGCTTAGCTGCGTGGTCACCCACTTCAAGCCGAACACAGAGGGGATCTGCAACGTGCGGCCATAGAGGGCTTCGAATGGAGCAGCCTTATGCTAGTGTGATAACCTGTTGTTATAGAGACTTCAACAAGGATAAATGAATATCCCATGCCTTTCAAAGTCTATCACGCAAGCTCGTAAGCAATGTCTTCTAATGTTTGAATCGTCCTCTCACTTTGTCCGGCCGGTTTTTGTGGATGGTAGGCTGTACTCATGTCCAGCCTAGTTTCCCAGAGAGTTTGTAAAGACTGCCAGAAACAAGAGTGAATCTACTATCTCGGTCTGAAATAATAGATATTGTCACACCATGCAGTCTAACAATCTCCTTGAGGTAAGTTCTTGTTAGCTTCTCCATCTTGTCGGTTTCCTTTATTGGCAAGAAGTGTGCGGATTTGGTTAATCTATCGACGATTACCCAAATAGTATCATAACCACCCGTTGTCTTGGAATCCATTGTAATCCGCTCCCACTTCCATTCAGGGATTTCAGGTTGTTGTAATAAACCTGAAGGTTTCTGGTACTCTACCTTGACTTTGGCACAAGTAAGGCACTTGCCCACAAAGGTAGCGATTTCGGCCTTCATGTTAGGCCACCAGTATAGTTTTCTTAGGTCCAGATACATCTTGTCTGAACCTGGATGAATGGAGTATCGGGTTTTTGTGTGCTTCATTCATAACCACGTCTCTGTAACCACCGAACGTTGGTGTCCAGATCCGGTTCATGAAATAATACTCCATCATCCCTGACTTCGAAGTTCTTATCCATTCCTCTCAGGGTTTACACCTGCCATTTTTCGGGTTTCAAGGATTCAAGTTGAGCTTCTCTGATCTGTGTGGACAGATGTGAATGGATTGTCATGGTCAACGACTTTACCCGGCGTCTCGGGTATTCTTTTCTGCTAAGGGCGTCAGCTACTACGTTTTCTTTACCAGAGTGATAAAGAATTTCACATTCGTAATCGTTCAGTATCTCCACCCATCGTCGTTGTCTCATGTTCAACTCTTTCTGATCGAAGATGTGCTAGAGAATTTTATGGTCCGTGAATATTGTGCATTTCGTGCCATATAAGTAATGTCTCCAGATCTTCAGAGCAAACACCACTGCTCCTAGCTCAAGGTCATGTGTTGTATAGTTGATTTCATGCGTCTTAAGCTGTCTTGAGGCGTAGGAGATAACCTTTCCTCTTTGCATAAGAACACACCCAAGCCCTTGATTTGAAGCATCACAATACACTACAAAGTCCTCTGTCCCTTCGGGTAGAGACAAGATCGGTGCACTGCACAAGGCTTGTTTGAGCGTTTGGAATGATGTTTCTTGCTTCTCTCCCCAACTAAAAGTTACACCTTTTTGCGTCAGGGTGGTAAGAGGCTTAGCTATTCGAGAGAAATCCTGGATGAATCTGCGATAATACCCAGCAAGACCTAAGAATTGACGGATTTCTGTAGGTGTTTTGGGTGCTGACCAGTTTTCAATTGCCTTTATTTTGGAAGGGTCGACGTGTATTCCTTCTGAAATGACCATGTGACCTAGGAAATCAACCTTCCTAATCCAAAACTCGCACTTTGAGAACTTCGCATAGAGTTTTTCGGTTCTAAGGGTTTGTAGTACTTGACGAAGATGTTGGCCATGTTCCTCTTTGCTTCTTGAGTAGATAAGGATGTCGTCAATGAAGACTATGACGAATTTGTCCAGGAATGGACGACATACTCTGTTCATTAAGTCCATGAACACAGCAGGTGCATTCGTCAATCCGAATGGCATCACTATAAACTCGTAATGACCATAACGAGTTCTAAACGCGGTCTTGGGAATGTCTTCCTCCAAAATCCGTAACTGGTGATACCTGGATCTTAAGTCTATTTTCGAGAAGTAGTTCGCACCTTGAAGTTGGTCGAACAGATCATCAATGCGAGGCAGAGGATATCGATTCTTGATGGTAAGTTTATTCAGCTCGAGGTAGTCTATGCACATGCGGAATGATCCATCCTTCTTCTTTACAAACCAAACTGGTGCTCCCCGAGGTGAGAAGCTTGGTCTTATGAAACCTTTGCTAAGGAGTTCGTAAAGCTGGCTGGATAATTCTTGCATTTCAGAAGGTGCAAGACGATAGGGGGATTTGGCTATAGGGGTAGCTCCAGGGATTAAGTCGATTCGGAACTCGACTTGTCGTTCGAGAGGCACTCCTGGAAGATCATCGGGAAAAATGTCGAGAAAGTTACAGACCTCAGGAATGCTCGCGATGTCTTTCACTTCTTGCTTTTTGTCTACCACGTGAGCTAAGAAAGCACAGTACTCTTTGCGAAGGTACTTTTGTGCCTTGATGCAAGAAATGATCTGAAGGTTCGTTCCGGGTTTGTCGCCA